GTGAGTTTTGTTACTTTGGACAAGTCACTTCCCATCCTCTGAATCTCCTGTAAAATGAGAGAAATCATTGGAGAGACAACATAGGGCACAATGTAATGATGAGGATCAGGATGATAACTTGTATTTATGAAGAGTTTTAAGGTTTGCAAAACACTTTATATGTTATCTCATCTGATCCCGCTAGATCCCTGCTCCTGACATTTGCTCCACTCCACGTCTCAATTCTTTGGACTTTCTCTGCCAGGAGCCCACAAGGACGCTTTCTTCCTAATCTCCCTATCCTCCACCTTTTTCTTCTCAGCTTCCGTTTATGTGTCATCTTCCTCCATCAGAATATAAGCTCCTTGAGGGCAAATGTCCTTCTTTTTGCTTGTATTTGTATTCCTAGAATTTAGCACAGGGACCAGAATATAATAAGCATTGAATAAACGCCTGCTTTTGACTCTCTAACAACCCCGGGAGGTAGATCCCCAGGAACACACAGTTAGTGAGTACTCTAAGGCAGGATTCAAACTCAGGTTTTCCTGACTACAAGTCCAGTGCTCTTTCCACTGTGCCGTCTAGCTGCTGGTATGTGTTATCAGATGCAGTCATTGTACTGGATGTTTTTTTTTTTTTTTTCCTGGAACTATTTGTTACTCTTTGTCACAAAGAAGGATTAAATTGAAGGTTGGGAGGGAGATAGTTTCCAGAAATTACTCTGATAAAAGACAAAATGTATCAATAAAACATTTTTTTTTAAATACAAAGTGGGCGGTAGACTAGAATATATCTATGGCCTTTCCTATTAAAAGTTTGTGAATTCTAAATGTCCTTGCTTTTTTATCAGAAGACATCTCTATGAGCAAAGTCCTTTGTATTCTCCCAAGAATGGTTAATGCCTAACCCCTTATCAAAGTAAAATCACAGTGGGACTTTAAAGACCATTGAGCCCAATGCCTTCATTTTGCAGAGGAGGAAACTAAGGACCAGAGAATGAGAAATGTCTTGGCTAAGGGACACAGAGTAAATTAGTGGCAGAGCTGACATTCCAGTGCAGTTTTCCTGACTCTAAGCCCGATGTTCTTTCCACAGCAACACACCACATCCCTTTTTTGGAGTGAGAAACAAGTGTGTTCTTGATTTTTTAAATCACTTGTGCAGTCTTGGCTTCTATAATGTCTACTGTAATCTTGCTGGAGGAGTGAGGAATAAAGGACTGACCATCCTCTCTCACTCCTTTCATATTTCCTTAATTAGTAATCTTACATGAAAAACCTGTTTATTATATCTGTACACTTTCCATGAATATTTTTTTCTGTAGCCTCATCATAGCATGGGGGATTCCAAAGATAATGGCAGACAGCACAAGCCCTGAGATATATGACCAAGATAGTAAGAGGAAATCACTTCTTCTCCACATCAGTAAAATGAAGTCTTTGAACTAGATAATCTTTAAGGCCCCTTGTAATTGCAAGCTTTTATAATTTTACGAAGCAGTCCTCGCTTTTTTTATCGGGAGTCATCCAAAGTCCTTTGGTAGCCTCCCAAAACAGGATAACACGCATGTGACTGTTCATATGTGTGTGTTAGTATATGTTATCTTTATTTAGGGAACATGATTTTTTGTTCATTCATGAATCATTGCACATGATTTCATCCATATAGTGAGCGCTTACCTTGGAAATTCCCCCACTGACACAAATCGGCAACTCACATGTTACCTCAAGCACTGAGAAGTTACAGGACTTGTCCATGGTACTAAGTGGCAGTCACAGGAATTACACTTAAGGGCAGCTAGGTGGTACAGTGGATAAAGCACTGGCCCTGGAGTCAGGAGAACCTGAGTTCAAATCTGACCTCAGATACTTACTTAGCTGTGTGACCCTGGGCAAGTTACTTAACCCCGATTGCCTCCCCTAGGAATTGAACTCAAGTTCTCATTGTTCCAAAGCTGATCCTCCATCTACTAGACCAAATGCCAATATGTATATATGTATATTATGTGCATATATTTAAACTTCAAAGACCATTACATACACACTCTTTTTTTACATGGGTTCAAGCTATATCTAATCCCCGAATTTTCTTCATTTAGTTTGTCCTAATCCCATTCTTTTCAGTACTGTTTACTTCAGCACCTTATTACCTGTTTTCATTTGACCCAAACCAAACTACATTTTCAGGTGCTGAAAGAACCTGCAGATGAGACCATTAGGCTACTGTCAGCAACAGTTAAAAGACTGGAGAATGGAGGAGATACTACAGGCAGAGTGAAGGGCAAATGTACTGATTTTTTAAATAGCAAAGACAGTGGGGTCTGGATGCTAGAGGCCAGTGAGTTTGACTTCAATTCCTAGGAAAAATCTGGGACACGTTACTAAGGAGATAGGGGATGAACTTCTAGGGAAGGAAGTGGTCATCACAAGGAGCCAGCATGGCTTCATTAGGATCACTTGTGTCAGACTAAGCTCATTTCCTTTTTTTGTTTGTTGATAGGATGACTAGACTAGCAGATCAGACAAAATGCTATACGTATAATTTTCTTAGGTTTTGGAAAAACACTTAAAGTTTCTTGAGCTATTGTAGAAATGATGAAGAGTACAGGACTAAATAAAATCAGTCAGGTGGATTTGCAACTGGTTGAATAATTGGGCCTCAAAAATAGTTATTCGCAGTTAGATGTCAATTGGAGGGAAATGTCTGGTAGAGTGCCCCAGGAGGATGGACAATGACTTGGATAAAGGCAAAGAAAATATACTCATCAAATTTGCAGAAGCCACAAAGCTTGAAGGGATAGCTAACATAATGAGTAACAAGATAGGATTAACAAAGATCTCAATGGGTGAGAACACTGAGCCAAATTTAAGAAATTTAATTATATAGTCTTATACTTGGATTCAAAAAATCAATATCACAAATACAAAATGAAGGCTCTTTGACTATAATGCACCTTGCCATGAAATGGCAGCCTAGAAAGCTAGTGTTATCTTGGGCTGCATTTAGGAACATGGTGTGAGAGTTCTGCTGTATCCTGTCCTAGTTATATGGCATCTGAACTAGCAGTTTCAGTTCTAGACACCAAATTTTAGAAAGGGCACTGACAAACTAGAGGGTATTTAGGCAAGGGCAATCAGGAAGGTGATGGGTGTCATGTTCTTAAAATAGGAGAATGAGTTAAAAAAAAACCAGGAATGCTTAGATCAGAGAAGAGAACATTTAAAGGGAAGAAACAGTTGTTCAATATTTGAAGGCTGTCATATGGGGAAGAGGTTAGATTTTTTTTCCCTTTTGGCCCAAGAAGACACAACTAGGAGTAACTGGTGGAAGATGTGAAGGAATAAATTTGGCCTTGGTGTAAGGAAAATAACTTACCAAAATTGTACAGCTATCTAGAAGTGGCATGAGCTCCTCAAGAAGCAGTGGATTCCCCCACACAAGAGGTCATCAAGAAAAAACTGGGCAACCACAAGTCAGCTAGGCAGCAAAGGATGGCCTCTTTCAACTCTAAAATTCTGTATTTGTATGGTTTATCTTTATTTTCTCATGAGATTTCAGCAGCTCTCTGTCTTCTACCATGAATTTAAAACCAATACTGAGGTTTTTGTTTGACACCCTTATTTTTAACCAACTGCTTCCCTACAAAAATACAGGGACTATTTTAGTCCTGGCTATTTCTGAGATAAAGATGAAGAAGCCATTTTGCTCATTTGAGTTCTTTTCTGCAAACTGCTGTTAGAACTAACTTTAGAGATGAAAGAAAACTGCAGATACTATCATCTGTGGGACATAAAATACCCATTGCTAAAGTAGCCTGTGACTGACCAGGCAAAGAAACAATTATCAGTTATGATATTTTTATTACCAAGTGTCACTGGTTTGCAAACTGATTTGCTTGCCAGGACAAGTGAAGGATTTGCCTTGAAATTCTTCATGAGAAGTGATCACACCTGATAAGTTGTGAATACCCAAGTTTTGTGCATCCACTTAAGAACTCCACAGTGTAGCAACAGATTGTTAACATATCACAGAAACATCAAAATTCACATTTCTATAATACTTTGCAGTTCACAAAGTGCTTTCTTCACAACTTTGTGAGGCAGGGAGTACAAATATTAAGATCGCCATTTTAGACAGGAAGATCATAGGATCCTGAAAGAGTCCTTAGAAATAATACCTAGAACTTGTATAGTGCTTGATGGTTGCAAAGTGATTTACAAATACTTGTTTGAGCCCCTCATTTTAAAGATAAGAAAACTGAGGTCCAGAGAGGTTCTTTGATTTGCCCCAAGTCACCCAGGGGTAAAGTGGCACAGCTAGAATTTGAATCCAAGCTCTCTGTGCCCAATCCAATACTCTTGGACCTTTGACAGAAGGTATTAAGCAAAGGCAGTTAGTTCATCCTGATACTCCCTACAGGAATATCCAACTACTAATTACTTCTACAAAAAACAATCCTGAGCAAAATGTGGGTCAGTTGGTTCACAGAAAGACAGAATTGGGACTTGAAGGGCCTGGTCTATCCTTCATTTTAGCAATAAGGAAAATGAGGCAAAAAAGTGAAATTTGTTCAAGATCAGACAGTAGAAGAATGAGGATCTTTTGACTCCAAATCAAGTATCCTTTCTATTACACCAAACTACGAACTGGCGACATCACTTCATTCTGATTCCACAGTATTTCGTTTATTCATCTGCACTTGCAACGAGCAGAATGGGGATGGGCTACTCCAGCAGTATCTCCGACTGCTGCCAGCCATCCAATTTGTAACTTACGTAATGAGCTGAATGATGCTTCCCTGGCATCTAAAGGAGTACAGTTCTAATGAACTATAGTGTCAACTGTGAAATGACATTGAATAGGGCAATGTCATGTGGGCCATACCTATGAAACTACATAGCACCAACCACCCTCAAGCACGACCAAAGAATTCTGTCCTCCAAAATACTGATGGAAGCGTGCAAAAGCCAAAAGTCTGACCGAAAAGAGAGCAATACAAGAAAATAGTAAAGATGCCTCACCTTGGAAGGTTAGGGGCTGGCGTTGAAGCTGATGACGGGGAAGGAGTTGTGGGTTGGGGTGACTCATGATTTCTCGGGACTCTGCCCATTCGATACCAGATTCCCATATTGTTCAGTTCCCTTTAGGAGAAAAAAGAAATCTTCACAGTGTTGGTAAAACACAGTTCATTTACCTGACTCACTAACAAAGCAACCTGACTCATGATGAAATAATTATAAACTCAAAGATCAGGAAACATATTAATCCCTGTGCAAGTTCAGTCAACGATTTATTCCAACATCAATATTTTGTTTTCAAAAAAAGATGACTCCACCCAGAAGTTACATATAAGAACAATTTCTGACTCCCAAGATAGCACCACGTGAAACACCAATTGATGACAATGCAATGTGAATAAACCACACTACTGTGTTCAGGTACACAGCTTCAGACTTCAAAACCAGATGCCTACTCAATGGATGGAAGAACTGCCTGACAACAAAAAACCTCCAAAACTAGAATGAACTACGGGTGAACTGAGTCATTAGAAGTGTTCAGATAGAAACTTGAAGACTACGTCCACCTAGGAATAGGCTGGCCTGGGGGACAACTATGCTCCTTTCCAGCTCTGGGATCTGAGTCTAGGATTTTTACCCCAGTTAAAGGTCCACCAAGTGCTATAACAATTAAATACTAAACACTTAAAAGAGAAAGAGATTTATAGTGGAAAAAATTTTAACTTTAGAATATTTCTAAAATATTACAATTTTACTACTCCCCTGAAGTCTTCCTCCAATGCCTCACTGCGGCATGGAGGTGACAAAAAGTCTTCAAAGGCTAAATCAGTGTGCTACCAAGCTGAAAAAGTTTTGAATGTGAGCCTAACAATGGACAACGTATCTATCATCTATCATCTACTGACGGGCCCAGTTCAGGTCAAGGAGGTACATCCTACAAGATCTAGACACTAGACAATGAGGTTTTTGACAACTGATGAAGCATTCTACCGTGGGTAGAGAGGAGCGTGCTCTAGGTTGTCGTAAAGAGCAGCCACATCAAGTAAATCATAGGTTCTTAAAGACTTAATATGCAATTTGTACTTTCCAGTAACCACTGTTACCTACGCTGGGGTAAATTCACTATGTAAAATTATTGCTTATGATTATAGGAATCACAGGATTTTCAAAGAGCTCATCTAATGTAACCTTTTTATATTATAGATGAGGAAAGTGAGGTCCAGAGAAGTTAAGCAATTTGTTCAAGGTCACAGAGGTAGTTACTGGCAGGGTCAGGATTCAAAATCAGGTCTTTCATTCCAATTCCAAGCCCTTCTCCACAACAACACACAAAAGGCTGATTTTTAAAGAATATATAATATTGACACATAATTGTCATGGTCAACTGAAACAACATGGAGGTATACTGAAAGTCTTATCTTAAGAAGTTCCAAGTTCAAATTCTAGTTCTACTTTTTACCCATGTGGCTTGACAGTAGGCAAGTCACTTAACTTCTATGGGCCTTAGTCATTTCACTGACAGACAGAATAATTTCAGACTTCTGATAAGCAAAGAATTTTAGACTGTCAAGTCATATATAAGTATAAACAACTGTATGTAAATTGGTGCTTGGAGGTTTCTCAAGAATGTTTATCCTCTTGAGTTATAATCTTGGAGGTTACTATCTTTTTAAAGTTGTTTTTCAGTCATACCCACTTCTTTGTAACTTCCTTCTCCAGCTCATTTTACAGATAAGAAAATTGAGACAGACAGGGTTAAGTGACTTGCCCAGGATTACACAGCTAGTAAGCATCTGAAGCTGGATTTGAACTCAAGAAGATGAGTCTTCCTGACTCCAGGCCCAGCAGTATATCCACTGCACCACCTAGTACATCTAGTGGGCTATCCCAGGGTGTTCTGGTATTTAACAACTAGTTCTCAAAAAAAAGCACTGGACTACTTGGGGTCAGATTTAATTTCTACCTCTGTGACTTACTATGTATGTGGCCTTGGGCAAATACATAATTTTGGGGCCTTGGTTTCTTTATCTGAAAAATGCTGAAATTAGACCTGATGATCTATAAATCCCCTTCTGGCTCTAATATTCTGAGATTCTGTAACTGAAACATTTAATATACTAAACAAAATGTCAGAGGCTGATTTAGCTGAAGGGAGGCAGAAATAGCAGAAAATTATTCAAATTTCAACAGTAAATGGATTAATGGAAAATGTGCTGTGATTTGAAGACACACTATGTAACTGTGATAACATTAATGATAGCAGCTCACATTTGTTTAGGACTTTTCAGGCTGTAGAATGTTTCCTATGTATTAACTATTTGATTTTCACAAGAAATCTTATGAGGTAGGTAATGCAAATAGGATTATACCATTTTACATATGAAAAAATTAAGGCTCCCAGAGACTAAAGGGCTTTCCTATGGTCACACAGCTAATAGGTATGATCAAGGAACTGAGAGTTGGAAGAAAACCCCCCAATCACCTAATCTAACCATCTCAGAGAGGCCAATTGACTTGACCAAAGCCACGTATATAGTCAAGAGAACAGCTGAGATTCAGATCAAGGCTTCTGACTCCAAATTCACAGTTATTTCCTCCATTCTATACCATCTCTTCATTAAATAAAAAATCTGGGATTCAAAATCCAACTTTCTGATTCCAAGTCTAACACTCCTACTCTGCTACAAAAGCATCACAATATCAAGAACATGGTGACTGAAAACATGACCACAAAGATCTCAAACGCTCTATGGAGGGAAGTCACTTTGGTCAGTTTTCTGTATATAAATTCTACATGGTTAAGGTATTATAGAACCCAAAACAAAGGAGGCAAGAATTTTGCTTTCCTGTACCCTGTAGCAGCCATGTTGGTAGTATCATGTTTAGTTCTAATCACCACATTTTAGGAAGCTCAACAACAAAGAACAATATTGGACAACGAAGACTGACCAAGATGGTAAGAGTTCTGGGCAGCCATGTTACATATAAAAATTGGTTGAGGAAACTAGGGATGCTTAGCCAGGGACCTGATAGTAGTTTTCAAATATTTTAAGTCATGGAAAACAGGGATTAAAGTTATCCTTCTTGATCTCAAAATGAAGAACTCGAAAGCAGTGGGTAGAAATTGTAGAAAGGCAAATTTTCTTTGATATAAAGGAAACATTCGATCGTAGCAATTCAAAAATGAAATGGGCTGCCTTAGAAAGAGGTACTGAGTACCCCATCACTAGAGGTCTTGTTGGGGATTCTCAAGGGAGCACTTCTGAATTCAGGCATAGGTTGGACATATTACATTAAAAATTAGCATTAGTGACTCAACTTTATTCACCATTTTGTGAAGTTAAGTTTCAACTCCATGTAAGACACCTGATTTAGGAGGTTTTACGAGAGTACTTCCCCTCCCCTCCATCAAATGACTTAAAGAATATCACAATACCCCTCTCCCTCTCACCTCAATGTATCCTGACCCTCTTCTACCAATGAAAAACCAGATATCTCAATCCCCATAATCCTGTGTTTCCTGTGTTTCACTCTCCAAATAGTATGTTAACTGTGAGAAACCAAACTTCTGGGTCCTTGGCTACTGAAAGCCTTCCCAGTTTGTTTTATAATACCACATGCTTTGCTAAATAAACGGTTTGTCTTCATGAAACTCAGTTTATTTCTTTCCTTTTCTTTTTTTTTTCTACCATAATGACAAGAATGACCTTTGGGATTCTTTTCCAATTCTAAGGTTCTATGACTTAGTACACCGAATTTCTGAAAAATGACAGATTATAGTTAGGCCCCTTTTAAAATGTCAGAGACTTACCCTATAAAGGTATATTGAGGAGGTGCCTGCTTCGTACGGCCCATGATTCTGATGTCACAGATGGCTGCCTCAGTTGAATCCCGAGGGATAAATTTAATACACAGCCTCTTCTTTCTGAAAGCAACTTCCTCTGAAAAAGGGACAAAGGAACGGGTATTAGTCTTCAAAGGTTAGCAAAGTCTGAAATCTGTCATCTTGTTTGTCTACTACATTGAATTAGCAACAGCCAAAATCAACCATCCAGAAGGGTCAGTCAAAGGTGTGAACAATATGCACTACCACCTCTCCTGGTATAAGCAGAAAGGGAAATCCATCACTACAGCGGGTTGGTCTTCAAAAAAAGATTTCAGACCAAACACATAGGCACATTACAGAATCACACAATTTACAGGTAGAAGGGAGCTTTGAAATTGTCGAGCCTCTTATAGACACAGAAATAGACCGGAGAAGTGGTTTGACTGACGTCACACAGGTAAATAAGAAATAGTTCTGGGAGAGAAATTCAAGTCTTCTGACTCTAAATTCAGAGTTATTACCTCTGGATTCTTCAGCTCTAAAATAAAGTTGAGAGTCTGAATTTTACGCTTAGCTCCAGGAGCCCCAGAATCATAGAATTTAAGGCCCCAGCATGAATTGAGTCCAACCCCTTCGGTTTTACAGAGGATAAAATCTGTGCCAGAGAGGTTAAGCAATTTCTCTGAAGCCAGGCAGGTACTAAGAAGCAGAGAGAGGATGTGAGCCAAAGTCCTCCAGCATTATTTGGTTTTGCTACGCCAGGAGCCAAAGATACACACTCAACACACAGACGTCATGAGGGGTAACATAAATCAAGGAACCTGATTCAACCAACCACCCTTCAAAATGAGTCATCACCATAAAATCACCCTGGGTAGGGACCATAACACAGAAGGGTCCCCAGTTCCTGAAGGCTATATCAGAGTGTGAGCCCTGGCAGAGCACTTCAAGCTGGGAGAGCTTTGAGGTTAGGACCAGCCTAGCTAAGTCAGAAGAGCCACAATGTCCAAAGAATGGCCACGAAGTGATGAGTTCTGCTGTTGCTGTTGTTCACAGCAACTCACTAAGATTGTCCAATAAGACACGGAAGGGTTGCAATATGAGTTGGTAAAGGGAATCGGAATCACAGAATTTCAGAGGTGGAAGGGATAAGAATGGTCATCTAGTCAAATCCACACCTGAACAAAATCTCCACATGACAGACAGTCATTCAGTCGTTACTTAAAGACCTCCAGTGAGAAACAATATCTGACTCTGGGACAGCTCTTGGCAAGTTCCAACTATTGTTCTAGTTTTGCTCTCTGGGGTCAAACAGTATAAGCCTAATAATTCCTCTTCCACATGACGGCTTTCAACTGTATCCCAAGTCTTCCCTTCTAAGCTTACATTCTCCAACCTTACATTCTCCTTTCTTTTCCTAAACTCTAAGACGGAGTGGTCACTTTCCCCTAATGTTCCTATAATTTCCTCCCCATCAACTACTTCTATCTTGATGACAAGAACTCTGATTAAGAAGAGAATTTCCCCTTGTTTCCTCCTCTCCTTTTTGAAGGATGAAATTATAATTGAATAAAGCCAAGAATTTAATAAACACTTCTTCTGGTGGAAAGTTCCAACATATGCCCAGATAATTAAAGTCCCCCATGATTACTATATCACATTCTGATGTCAGGTTTGAGATCTGATTCCTGAGAGCGTCATTTAAGCACTCTTTCTGTCTAGGAGGTTTACAATATAGTCCAATTGCAATAATGCTTCTATCTCTGACTCCATTGATCTCTGCTCAATTGGACTCTATCATACTTGGCTTCTTTGGTTCCTAGATTTCCTTGCATGGGGAGATCTTAACAACATAATGATACCCCATCTCTCTTTTATTTATCCTGTTTCTTTTGAAAAAAGTATATCTGCAAAAAAAAAAGTATATGTGCCAGAGAAATACCATAGGTCTGATCATACCAAGTATTAGTAATACCTATGAGCTTAAATGTTCCTCCTTATTTTAGGATCTCTAGTTCATTTAAATGAGGCAGGGCTGTGCAAAGTTACCAGCCTTACTTTCTCCTCTGGAGCCATCTGGGTCCAGTGGCAAGATATAGATCAGGATGACTGGAGATGCCCCTCCCCATGACCCCCGCATAAAGCCTCAGTGGCTAAATATACATAGTTTTGTCCCCATCAGCATCTCCTTCCCTTTTTAGTTCAAAGTCTTTTAAAATTAATTTTGATAAACTCTAAGCAAATATATATAGTGGTAGGATCTCTACCGCTGTGTGCATTTGTGTATACAGGTGATGGATACCGTTAGTTGGACTTTTTGCCTGTGAATTTCTGGGTACTTCGATTACTATTCTCTTTCCAACATCATGGATGTCTATGGTAGTAGCTTGTTGTTGTTGTCTGTCCTTTGTTCTAGAAGAGAACCAATAACATCGCGAAGGTGATGCCATGACTTGCAAATGAACAGGATTTAAGTGAAGCAGGGCTGTGCAAAGTCACCAGCCTTACTATCTCCTCTGGAGCCATCTGGGTCCAGTGGCAAGATATAGATCAGGATGACTGAGATGGCCCCCCATAGAACCTTAGTGGCTAAATATACATTGTTTTGCCCCATCAGCACCTCCTTCCATTTTTAGTTTGAAGTTTTTTTAATTAAATTTGTTAAACTCTAAGCAAATATATTCTTAACAGCCCTTGTGAGGTGGATTCCATCCCTGTCCATGAATTTCTCATTCCTATACTTTAAATAAAAACCTGAATTTTAAGGAATTCTTATATTTTAAAGTTCATATCCACAGGGCAAGGAATTGAAAACAAGGTAGCCCTGCGATCACACAACAGTGATTAGAATTACACTTTTAAAATGGGAAGTAGGGGGCAGATAGGTGGTGCAGTGGATAAAGCACTGGCCCCGGATTCAGAAGGACCTGAGTTCAAATCTGGCCTCAGACACATAACACTTACTAGTTGTGTGACCCTAGGCAAGTCACTTAACCCCATTGCATAGCCAAAACAAAACAAAACAAAACAAAACAAACAAACCAACAAAAAAATGGGAAGTGGCCTTAATGATTGTTTCATCCAACCCCACAATTTTAGAGATAAGTAAACTAAGGCCCAGAGTAGACACAATGGCTGATATCACAGAAATTCAGACTTGGAAGGTATTTTAGTGGTCTTCTAATCCAACGTGTGCGGCAGCATAAATTTCCCCCACAAAATCCTCCAATTTGTCATACAGCTTCCATATGAAAATCCCTATTACTTAGTAATTCACTATCCTCTGAAAGCCATCCATTCTACTTTGGGTAGCTCTAATTGTTAGGAAGTTTTCCTCAAATGAACTTCCAACCACTGTTTCTAGTTCTGTCTCTAGGATCAAGCAGAACAAATTTCTTCCACCAGAGAGCTCTTCAAATACATGAAGACAATCAGTCAACAAGCATTTTTTAAGAGCCTGCTTGGTGCTAGGCACTGTGTTAAACACTGGAGATACAAAGCAAATTTCAAAAACAGTCCTTGTTATCAAGGAGCTCCAAGTTTAACAGAAGAAACAACAAGCAAACGACTATGCAAAAACAAGACACAGTATATAGAGGAGAGGTCGGAGATGATTAACAGAGAGAAGACACTAGCAGTCTGTCAGTCAGCAAGCACTTAGTAAGTGTCTGCTGTGTGCCAGCCACTATGCTAGGCACTGAGAATACAAAGAAAGGCAAAAGGCAGTCCCTGCTTTCAAGAAGCTCCCAGTACAATGGGAAATGTGAGGGTTCGGGAAAGGCTTTTCGTAGAAGGTGGGATTTTTGCTGGGGCATGCAAAAAGCCAGGGAAGCCAAGAGGTGGAGATGCTCCTCCGGGTGGTCTCTTCTCCAAATTAAACTTTTCCAATTCCTTCAACAGATCCTCACACAAGACGAACTCCAGCTGTCCATCATGTTCTCACAGGTCACTATCCTCCGGAAGTACTTCCATTTGTCAGTATCCTATCTAAAATGTGATGTTCATTAAAGAGCACAATACTCCAGATGCAATTGGACCAGGGCAGAGTATAGAAGGACTATAACCTCCCTTGTGATGGGCATTGTTTCTATCAATGCAGGCTGAGACCACACATTGGTGATAGTTTTTGTTTTCATATCTAGGACAGTAATAGATCCTGGTTTTTTGTTTTGTTTTGTTTTTAAAGTATGGGTCTCCCCATCTCACTCAAGCTGGAAATGCAGGGGCTACTCAGGAGCCTGATCCACTACCGATCAGCACAGGGGCATTGACTTGCTGTTTCTGATCTTGGCCAGTTCACCCTTCCTTAGGCAACCTAGTGGCCCCCCCCCCACTCCAGGGGGCTCATCATATTGATGTGGACTTAGTGGGGAAACTGAGTTAGCTAGCCCACTATAGTTTAGAACTCCCAAGCTCAAGAGATCCCCCAGCCTCAGCTTCCCAGGTAGCTAGAAGTACAGGTGGGTGCCACCACATCCACAGTTTCTGTTCTTAATCCAAAGCTCAAGAGGAATTCTAGATACTGACATTCAAGAGTCCAGCCAAGTCATGCTCCCTCTATAACTACCTCAAGAACAATAACAAGGTGTAGCCAAATGAAACAAGAGGCAAACAAATCAAAGAAATAATGAGAACCCATAGTAAGATGATCTCCATCAGGGTTGTGGCAAGACAAGAAAGACCACAGTAAGGGCAGCTAAGTGGCGCGGTGGATAGAGCACTGGCTCTGGAGTCAGGAGGATCTGAGTACAAAACTAGCTTCAGACACAAAAATAACACTCACTAGCTGTGTGACTCTAGGCAAGTCACTTAACCCTAATTGCCTCACCAAAAAAAATTTTTTTTTAAAAAATAAAGCTGAAAAAAAAAAAAGAAAGAAAGACTACAGTATAAGTTCCAGGTGATATCCAGGCAAATTCACAGTTCACCAGCCTTCTCTGCCCAAGTGATCTCTGGGAGCGGGGAACAAAATTGGTACCAGGAGATACTGGTGTCTTTTAAGAACTAGATACACACACACACACACACACACACACACACACACACACACACGTCCTGCCCCCTTTCCCTCTGCTGAGCTCTGTTCCAGCACCGAGTGTTGACAAGCTGCTATTA